AATTAGCAAAGTGCTGATATTTTGGATTTTTAGCCTGTTGTATATAAACTTCATTGAAGATTTGAAATTGTTCTTAGGCAAAAATATTGGTTGCATATTAATTACATTGGAAAGGCAAAATCTTTATACAGTCATCTCTCATTATCTGCTGAGGATTGGTTCTGAGACCCCCTCAGATACCAAATCCATGGATGCTCAAGTCCTTATGTAAAATGGCATAGTATTTGCATATAACCTATGCACATCCTCCTGTATACTTTAAATCATCTCTAGGTTACTTGTAATACTTAATACAATGTAATTATTTGTAAATACAATGTAAATAATATGTGAATAGTTGTCAGTGCATAGCAAATTCAAGTTTTGCTTTTGAGAACTTTCTGGGAAAATTTATATATATATATATACATATTTGATCTATTGTTTATACCTGTGAATGCAGAACCAATGGATACAGGTTGCTGACTATACCAGCTTTTTGTTGATTCTTAATGTAGATGGAATATTTTCAGCATTTTAAGGATCAACTCTGAAGTGATCAGTTTTAAATATTAGAAATTAATTTAAAAGCTTGAATTACCTTCTCAAAATCTGTGAGATATTGTATAGTAACTTGGCCCTTCTTTTTCAGTTTGCAAGAAATTTAACTTTAGATTTAGGTGAAGGATAGAGTTCTTTAAGCTGACTAATGATATAAGGAGAGAGACTTGTGAAGTGTACAGGAATTCCTACAAGTTCAAAGGACTTTAATGACACAATCTCTTCCAAATAAGAACTTAATGCAGAATGTAGTTGTTTGAGGAACTAAGTAATTTCACTAGGGCAGCTTGTAATAAAATGTATTCTATTTCAGAATATAAAAGTAATTTTCCTCCATAAGAGTTTTTTTTCTTTAGTTTGCTTCAAGGTATTTGATGTTGATGGTGATGGAGTTCTCTGTAGGGTTGAACTGAGAGACACGTGGTTGCACAGAGGTCTGGAAGGACAACTGCACCGATGATACCCTGGTAAAGTCTGATTGTATACATTTTCTTGTATGTAAACTTCCAACAGGAATATAAAGTGAAGAATTTTTTAAAAGAGGTTGAGAAAAAGATTTCTTACTACTTCTAGGTTCTATATTATGCTACTCAAAATATTCATAGCCAAAGATGCAAAATACAGAAGAGAATTTGCCTTAGAAAATTTAATAAACTGAATGTATTATGTAAAAAAAAATGAAACCATGGAAAATTGTCATAAATTTTTAAGGCAAACAAGCAAATCTATTTCTGGAATTAAAAAAAAAAAAACTTAAGTCCAAAAACTAAATTTTATAACTTCTAGCTACTGGACTAATAAAAAATAGTAACTTCCTTTACCTT